CCGTGGGCAGGAGTCCGGCCCCTGCTCCACGAGGAGTCCTCAGTGCGGGCATCTGAAACGTGGGCTCCTGAAACGCAGGAATGCGGTGTCTGCCTGCGTCCTCCTCTGAGGAGTTTCCTTGTAAATATTGCGTCAAAAGTTTGTTTTAGGTCGCGCAGGTGTGGTTTGGTAGGTGTAGAAAAGCAGACGGTGTGTTATCCTCTGTGAGCTCGTCTTCCCATCTTTTCAGGCTGCTCTCCTCTCATTTGTTTTATTTGCTGATTTCCCGAAGTGTCACTCTTCGTGGTATTTCATGAATGATTCCTATTAAATAAGGAAGGTCTTTATGTGCCCTTGCCAGCCCAGCTGAGTTGATGAGGAGTGAGCAGAGCAGAATTTCCACCAGGTATTTCCATGACAGCAGATGCCCTGGGGGATGAGCAGGACAGTGCTGGCCGGAGCCCTTTCTCTCTCCCTTTTTCAGAGGATAGCTTGGGGTTACAGGTGAGGGACTGGTTGGGTGAGTGGAGTTAAGGCACCTGAAGAGGTGTGTGCTTGCTAGGCGAGGGCTGGAGGGTTCATGGGACAGTGCTTGGAGAGGCAGGGGTTCCACAGCCATGACTTTGCTGCTCTGCAGCAGCTCTGTGTTCAATTCAGCCGTGTCTGCACCGGTTCCATGACTAAGTCTGTGTTTTGTTGTGGTAAAAGTATGCCAGTATAGCCATGCAACCAAGCCCTTGGCTTTCCTCAGGCTAGATCTATATTAAGGTTCATTAGCTTCAGATCTGTTTAGCTCCAAAAATACCAGTTTATTCCTTGGGGCTTGACTATTTAATTGGATCAGCAAGAGGAAGTGGAATGAGGCTGTGCTGGCCAGGGGTCTGTTGGCTGCCCTTGCTGCTGGCACAGCTGGATGCAGTGCTTTGAGGGGCTCTTGTGACTGAGCTGTGGTGGATCACTCTCTCACCCTGTTGCACTCCCAGCCAGCTCATTTTCTCTCATTGCATCTCTAGGAAGGTAGTTCTAGTGTCTGTGTGAAGCTCTGCTCCAGTGTCCCCTCCTCCTCCCAGCCTTGCTGAGGCATTTGGTGAGTAGTGCGCAGCTGGACAGGTGTTCTGGTGTGTGGCTGACAGGACCAGGAGGGGTGGCTCCTGTTGCTCTTGCTGTAGAAGAAGACTGGCTCTTCTACTTAACCATTTTTGAGTTGTTTTTAAAGTTAATTCAAGCAGTGGCTGCTGAGAGACTGAATGATCAGTAGGGTGACTGAATTTTTTTTCAGAAGGAACCTGCTGTCTTGAAAAGAAAAGAACAGCACTGTTACTATAGCAATTAAAGAGCTGCTGTTATTTATGAGAATAACGTGGGGTGATTCATCTCCCATCAGTAGGGGATTGATGGAGTACTGTATCAAGTAGATATGGACTCAGGTCTTAACATCTCACTAAATCACAGCCACAGATTGTTTCTAGGATCACTAAGAGACTCTGTATCAGGAGGAGAAAGGAGATAAACAGCAAAATCGTGCTCTTACCTTGCAGACAAGGTGACTTCAAACATCAGTGGAGCAGCTCACAGAAAACTGTTCTGTGGTCAAATGTATTGCAGGCTCCGTGGTTGTGTAGCTCCTGCCTGTGGCTGTAATAAATATTTGGCATACCACAGAGATCTCAAGAGTAAGAGGTTTAAGAGTAAGGGAGTAAGAGGCTTTACCTGTCTCTAATGTGCAACTGGAGATTTCTCAAGATGTGTCTCAAAAAAACTGTCTAACATTCCTCAGTGAGGAGTTGCTGTGGAGACAATGCTGGGCAGGGTCAAGCATGCCAGTTACCTTTTTTTTTTGTTTGAGTCACCATCCAGTCAGTAATGCCTGTCAGGAGAGGGGTTGGAAGTGTGGCTGAATATTCAGTACCCTGTGTTACACTGAACCCTTGTGTAGCAAAACAGAGAACTGTTTTAGTATGAATTGGATGGATATGAGGCTCTAGTTTTTTAGTACTTCAGAACACTGTAAATAAATTCCTCCTGACACATTAAATGCTACCTCAGTACACTTAATGCAATGCAGTTATCCTGTGTCTTCTCATGGAGCAGCTTCAAAAGAGATCACGGATGCTTCTCACCATTTATGGTGCTTGTGATGCAGAATAGGGCTACACTGCACATTACTGGTACCACCTGCAGTCAGCCAGTGCTGAGGTGCTCTGGTTCACCTTACCGTGAGTTTTCAGGAGTCCTGAGCATTGGCAGCTGGAGCAGGACAAGGAGGAAGGGCTGTCAGGGACATGGAATTTTCTTTGTCTCAGCTGCTGTGAGCCATGACATGGTTTGTTTGTGGAAGAGCAGCTGCTGCTGCTCTGCATTCTTGGCTGTGGAGTCTGAAGTGTGTGCATGCTCTGATCCTGTTTTTGGTCTGAGCCCTGTGTGATCCTTACCTGTCAAGTGCTGTAACCCAGACTGTGTTGATTTGGCTTCAGGGACCTTTTTGTAGGTATACCAAGGCAAAGACATGCAGTTGTTTCTCTGCCTCCTTGTTCTAGAAGGCTGCTGCAGAAATGGAAGGCGGTGAAGGACCTGTAGGCACACCACAGCAGTGCATGGCTGCCTCCTCACTGGGGATTCTGCCCCAAAAAGCATCCCCTGATGATGTGACTGGTGAGACAGAGGCAGAGGTTTGTGGGGTGCAGAAGCACAGGTCCTTTTGTCATTTGGGTGTTGTGCTGCTGGGAAAAGTGTGGGTAAAGTGCATTAAGTGCTCTGTGCCCAAGAGTCTCTGCATGGAAGTGTTTGTAGCTGCCTCTTTCAGCTGCCTAAAGTTTTCAGGCAAAACAAAAAGCATAATAGTGTAGCATAACATTCCCAGATTCTCTCAGGCTTGTGAAGTCCATTCTTTATGAGGTTCATTCTTTAGTCAAAAGAGGGTGGGCCTGGTTCTCCTCTGCTGACTGTGTGTTTTATCCTTTATTGGCTTCAGGAGAGTTGCTTCTGAATTTGTGCTGTTGTAAATGCTGAATGAGCCCCAAGAGCTTGGCTTTCTCCATGTAACTTTTACTTGCCTTATGTAGATTTTATGAGCCTGCATACGTAGAACCCATTGTTTACTTTTTAAAGTAAAATTGAAAATTTTGCTGGATGGCTAAAGCCATGTTTCTACCTTGCAGTGAGCAGAGTGAAACTGCACATAACAGAAAAGAAATTGTGGAGCTGCAGTCATGTTCTGTCATTAGGGTCATTCAGTTTTTTGGAAATTTTGATCTAAACAATTAGCTCAGTTGAAAATTGTTGTGTGTTACTGCTTTACTGTTTCCTTTGGAGCTGGTAAGGTTTCTGCCATCAGCATAAATATGGGAGAGGAGTGTGAAGATCTCACCATGATAGAGTGAAAATAGCAAAAGGAAGTTCCTGGAGTCCTACCAGTCCTCTGGCAGGAATAACAGTATTTTGTGGTATGTAATTGTCATTATACTGTTTGGAATTAGTGCACCCATTTGTGTTGGGTGTTGTGTGAGAGTGCAGGTAATGATGCTGCACCAGGGAGGGTTCAGGTCTGTGAACACTGTGTATAATGTGAGGGTAGGGTGAGAAAATTACATTTTTCCTCCTGATCTTGGAACGGGGTTTTCAAGACAGCCTTGTAAATGAATATTCCTGGAAGATGTCTTATCTATAACTTGTCTTTGAAGAGTAAAAGCCCTGCTTTGCACATAAGCAGGTGTTGAGTCTTGAAGAGTCTGAAAGCACTGGATTGTTTTGTATGGTATTCAGAAACAAAAGGACAAATCTGCTGCAAATTGCTGTTGCTCCTTTACAACTGGCAGAGCACTGCAGGTTGACTCTGGTGAGAGATGTTGTCACCTCCCCAATTTCATGTATACACGC